AGTTTGTATATCCATTATGGTATTATTTTCAACAAAATCACTCTTTTGTCTTAAAAAAAGACAAAAATAGCTCCTAATGTTACAAAACATCTGAACTTCAGCCAGTAGAGACAAATCTTCCATTCAAGTGATGGTTATATTATGTTTTCATTGTCGTTTCTGCTTAAATGTCAAATAAGTAAAATAATTTAGAGCAAAAACAACTAAAGTGACCAGGTTTACCTGGGGATATTTTAGCTCAGATGAATTAAATTTATCAGACTGAAATTAAGAAACTGGGCCAGTTACAGTTTAAATATTTAAGCAATAATAACCTGATTGATGACCTGAGGGAATACAGGAACAATCCCTAAAGCTACAATAAACTTCAGTTTCACAAAATTTAAACCAGAATTTATTTTGACCATTTCAAAGCCAAAGTTAGAGAAAAATCTAAATTATGAATCTCCTTTCATCTCATTGTTGTCCAAACACAAATATTTATATTAAGTCCAATCAAAGCAAATTTTTTAAGGTCATCATCAACAGGGATTAAAAAGTTAAATTACAGATAAAACAATACAATAAAATAAAGAAATCATGTATTTATTTTCAGGATAAAAACCACTTTATACAATCATATTGTATAATCATGTTAAATTAATTTACTTCAGTTAAAATAATTGTGGCATTAAACATACTGACCCACAAATTATCAGTAAAATGTTAAAGTCTTCATTCAGCAGGAAGAAAACATGGCCGCCGCTGAAAACAGGAAACATTTTATAAAGAACAGAAACCTTCATGATTATCAGCTGATCTCAAGTCTGAGTGAGAAATCAGAGCAAAACTTCCACAAACTGAGGAACAACTGGACCGAGTCATTTACTTCAGAATCATTCAGATCTCTGTGGAGGTTCTGGACAGAACCGGTCCGATCCGTGGCAGAACCTCCTCCTAGGTTCTGAAACCCAGCAGAGGTCAGAGGTCACGATGTCGAGTCTTCACTTAAAACTTCAAGACTGGATCAGAAAACTGTCAACTCAGCAGTTTTCTCTAAATCTTTATATGGAGCCAAACAAAAATTAACAGCAATATTTTGAATTATTTAGTATTTTATAGGGGAAAAAGAATGGATTCAATTTTCAAAGTTATTTTTTCACAACTTTACTCATTCATTTATGAAAGTTAGCTGCAAATTAAATATTTACTAGGAAAGCTAAATAAGTAGCCTAGAAGCTAAATATTTATTTATCAAACTATTTAAATAACTAAATACTTAATTAGCTAAATGTTTACCTAAATACTTAGTATTTAATTGATAACCAAAGATTTTGTTCCAATATAGTATTTAACTTCCGAAACACATACTTAGCCTGTCAAGGAAATATTTAGTTTACAAACTAAATATTCATCTTGGAGCTAAATATTTAGTTAATTAGCTAAAGGCTTCGCTTTCTAACTAAATGTTTAGTTTGCAACCTACCTATGTAATTAACAAGCTAAACATTTTATTGGTGAACTAAAGCTTAGCTTACTGACCACATGGTCAAACTAAATATGTAGTTAGAACTGATAAATATTTAGTTTAAATCATTTATAAATGAATGAACATTTATATGAAAATATGATTTTGAAAAGTGAATCCAATAACAGGCTAAATAATCCAGATTATTGCTGTTATTTTTACAAACCGCCTATGAACATGTTGGAGCAAACTGGCTTTAGGTAAACAGACATTCTGACTTTTTACATAAAATTATTACTTGAAACAAAGTATAAAAACAGGTGCAGTGAAACGTTTAAGGACCGACGATCTTACAGCAAATGGTTGATTATTAACTTCATCTGATTGTTTTTGCAGAACTTAAATCCTATAAACATTTTGAATAATTCAGGAAATAAATCAACTAATTGTCATTTCTGGTGGATTTAAACTTTTCCAGCTGATGTTTCTGCTGTTCATCAGAATCAGAGGATCTTAAAGTGCAGAGTGTTGATGGACGAGCTGATCAGAGCGGCGCCCCCTGCAGGTTGGGGAAGCCGTCACAGTTTGGACCTGGGGGTCCGGTCCAGCAGAACCTTCATGTCCAGCAGAGCTTCCTCCACGGCCGCCGCCAGGCCGCCGGCGTCCGTCTCCCCGCAGCTGTTGAACGCCGACACGGCGAAGTTGATGTGGTCGTCCATGGGGTTGTAGCAGACGCCGTAACCGTCGGTTACCACCGGCCCGAAGCACATCACGCAGTCCGTCTTAGACGGGACCTGAGGGGAACCGGAGGGCGGGTCAGAGTCCAGAACCAGGAGAGGTTTGGGTTACAGCCTGACGTCAGGATCCTGAATCTCTGCTTCCTGCTTTAGTTAACAATGACTGATGATGTTAGCTGCTAAGTTATCAACATAACACACTCAATCTTAAAGAAAACTGGATGCAGTGCATTGCTACCAATTGTCAATACTAACATAGCGAGTTAAAAAGGTTAGGAACAATTCATAGCGAAGAAAAGGGAAGTAGCTCAGTTATGCTAGCTTGACTATGAAACCTTAACATGTAGATGTGATGTGGAATTTGGTGTTTCAGTTAAAAATAAAGGCGACAAACAGCAACTGGTAGATTATCATCAGTGGAGGAGTTTAAATCAGCTGTTGCTGAAGGACAGTTTTGCTTCCAGAAACATAATTCATTTTATTTGGGTTTTTATTTTTATTTTGTACATTTAAAATGTCTTCAAGTTCCAGTGTTAAATTTTAAAGCCTTAAATTACCGTTATGTTACTGAAAATGGACTCAAAGCAACAATATTATCGTTTATATAATATGATAATTTATTGTCCAGCATCACTTGCTATAGTGACAGGCTTAGATCCGGGTCGGGTTCTGGACCAGAGCGGCCCGGTCCGGTGGTACCTGGCTGGTGGACAGTCGGTAGTGCAGAGCTTTAGCGAAGGCAGGATCTCTGAAGATCTCTGGGACGGGAAGTTTCTCCTCGGCCGCCTGCAGCTTCAGGCCCAGCAGGTGTCTGTCGATGGCCTGCCCGCTGATCGCCTGATCAGAAATAAAAACATTCAGACATGGAGGCCATGAGGCTGAGCAGAACCGGACCGAGTTCGGCAACAACGGCTCAGGTTCGTCAGGAATGTCAAACTTTCTGTGTTTAAGGACCAAACTAATAACGTGAAAACAACAAAACTTTGTAGTTCTATATTTTACTCCCCGTTCTTACATTTCTCACATTATTAGGAATAATGTGAGAAATTAAGAAAATTATGGACGACCCTGACCATCCTCTTTAAAATAGTCTTCAGTCAGAGGCTTCTTCAGATTCGCTGTAGCACAGACTGCTACAGGAGATCCATCAGCATCTACAGTAACTCTGAAGAATCTGAATTAATCTGAGTCACAGCAGCTTTAATTTCTCTTTGGGATCAAAAAAGTATTTTTGAATTGAATCATTTAGTGAAATAAATCTCATTTCAGTGAGCGAAAGAAATGGGAATGTTTTTATAAATGCTGCGCCATGCAGACACTGAAATAAATAAGTAATAAATACTTTTATCATCATTATAAAGTATTGATACTTCCAGTGACTCTCACCATGTTGGTGTACGATCTGTGGGCTTTCACAGCTTCCGCCATCAGATCCACCTTCTTCTGGTTCTGAGCACAAAAACAAGATTTTACTAAATGAAGAATCTTCACATCCCAAACACCAGAATGTCGCGGTGAGCAGAACCGGGTCTGGTTCTGACCTGCTTGCTGGGGTCGTCGAAGGCCTTAACGAAGGCAGCCGAGGCGCTGGAAGCCGATCGGATCGTGTCGGTGCGGCCGAGTCGGAACATCCGCAGCGAGGCGCTCTCATACGTGGCGCAGCAGCGCCGGTACTTCCTGTTCACACAGGAACAACAACAAACCTGTAGAGCCTCAGCAGCCCAGATGCATTCTGGGAAATATAAAACAACATGGAGGGAAAAACTAAACGACTAAGTTCTGAACTCAGAGAAAACTGGTGTCAACGTTTGAGTCGTTTTAAATAAATCAGTAAAGAAGTTTCCATCATCAGAATCTTGAAGCACAAAAACATTTTTGACACCAATTTTGTTAGATGTGAAGAAGTTGTGAGGCGGTAAAGTTTCAGTAAACTGACCTTTGACCTCTGTAAAGTGTCTGTGGAAATACTGTGTGGTTTTTGGAAATGATCCTTTAGAATCCAGAACGAACTGATGAGGCGTTCAGGTTCAGTTTGGATCAGATTATCTGCTAATCAGATGATGGATTAATAAACCATCAGACTCTTTTCTTCCTGTTAAATTAGATTTTAAAGTGACCTGCAGCGATTTGGAGGAAATGTTTGTTTTCATGTGAAACTAAAAAAGAATCTTTTAGAAAAATAACCAGGAAGTTTCAGGAAATATCCAGAAAATAACCTGAAACTCTCAGAAATGTCCATAATTTCCCAGAAAGCATCGAGGCGACAGAGAAAAGTCTGAGTTGGTTCCACGCAGTGAAGCCCGGTGTTACAGGCTCAGTGGTAAACCTGCTGTAGCGTCCAGGTGTGGTGACCTCTGACCTGTAGAAGGCCAGCTGCAGGCCGGCCTGGATGAAGGCGTCCGGACTCATCCTATGGGACTTCGGCACGTTTTTCCCAAAGTGTCCGAACACAGAGACCCTCATGTCCAGGTCCTGGGCCAGGCTGTGGAGGGACAGAACCGGGTTAGAACCGGGTCAGGACTGGGTCAGAGTGATGGAACCAGGTCAGGACCGGGTCAGAGTGATGGGACCCGGTCACAACCGGGTCAGAACCGGACCAGCCGCTCACCTGTCCATGCTGGCCTTGGCCGCCTCGATGTCCCTCTTCACCTCTGCTGAGACGATGAATGGAAGTTTATGAGGGACAGGAAGAGACGCTGCAGGAGACGGAGACGTGTCCTTCCTCCTGTCCAAAGACACAAAGATAATCCAGATTACTGGATTATCCACAGATTATGATTGGAAATGATCTGGATTATCATTTGGATTCAGGTTCATGTTTTATCACAGTCAGCATTAATGATCCGATCACATATCAATATCTGTATCGGTTCTGATATTGAAAATAATTCAAGATCAGCTATCAGTGACAGTGTGGCAGATCTAGTCAGTCTAACTCTATGCCTTATTATTTATACCTGATACAGATATTGATATCAGATCAATTCTGTGGTTTTAAGTTTCCTCAGCTGTTTTTCCATATCAGATATCGGTATCAGATATCGGTATCAGATATCGGTATCGGTTCTACTGACGTGAACTCGACCACGTGGTCGATCAGCGCCACGATGGGCGGGCCTTCAGCCGGAGCGTGTTCGTAGTTCGCCCCGCAGGTCCCGTCTTCCCCCACGATGAACTGAAACATCAGAAACGAGCATCAGGTTCAGATCAGCAGCAGAACTAAAGTTCACTTCCAGACACTTCACGTAAAAAACAGAAGATAAAACTACAGGGGAGTTAAACTACCGACTGCTCTGGTTAAACGGAGACGGTACGCTTCACGCTGGAAGTTTTTTTTTACATATTGAAAAACTAAAAACACAAACAGATGATCTGCAGTGGAAATGATGTCATCATGTCTCAGGTCAGAATCAGTAAACTACCTAAACTAAACTACTACCATCGGTTCCTTCTGGATTTTATCATTGTTTGCATTAAAATCAGACTTTTTGAGCTTCTTTAGAAATTTAAAATGTTTTTGCAGAGGAACTGTTTGCTTGGTAAATCTTCGCTCATACACAATGACAAATGTCAATTTTACGTGCATCACTTAAATCCAGTGTTTTCACCATTTTTGCTGAAAATGTGAAATAAAAATTTAATTTATGCGATAGCATGAAAAGAGCAGAGGTCTGAGGATTTTGTGTGAATTTCTGGGATCTTTTAGAATCATAAAAACCCTCTGGACGGCCCAGAGTGTGATCCGGAGCGTTGGGTCACCTGCAGCGTCTTGTCGAACCAGCGGTTGGCGCTGTAGCCCCGGCTGCCGCCGCCATGCAGCATCTGGACGGCTGCAGCGCTGCGGCTCTGATCTCCAGCTGCTCCAGACGTGGGTCCATCCAGACACAACGTGAAGATGCTCCTCTGGATCGACGACACAGACGCTTCGTTGGTCGGGTCTGAACCAGAGGGAGAGACTCCTGATCTACACCAGTTTAACCCAGTCCAACAGTGCTGGTTCTGATGGTTCTGAACACTGACACAGAACATGTTTTACTAAAACAAACTAAGTCTTCCAGGTTTAATTGGCTGATTTCTAATCATCTAAACCAGTGGTTCCCAAACTTTTTCTTCTGCGCCCCCCCTATGGATTACAAATGGCTGTCTGGTTGAAACGACGCGTATGACGGTGGTGGGGGGAGGGGGGCCATCGACTTTTTTGGGGGCAAAATGAATGTACGTAGCTGAAAATAGACACCAACATCGGTAGCCTACAAGGTACTTGTTAAGCTAAAGGTTCTGTATTGATATTAGCTAGTCATCCTTTAGCTCACATTGCCTTCATCCAGCAGCTTTACTCAACTCAGTCGGTTAGTTTGGAGGGACAAACTGTGAAAAGTTCTTTGCGTTTTGCTGGTTTGCTGCCGTGATTCTAACACAAACCTACGTAGCTCCGCCCAGCAGCAGCAGGTCTCCTTCACAGGTGTAAACCCAGTGCGAGCGTCGTAGCGATCATGTTGCGTTTAAAGGCGGCTCGGAAAAACAGGTTGCAACATGTTAACAAAGGATTAAACAGTTTTAACTGCTGATAAAAGTGACAGAGGACACAGATATGGGAAGTGTGGAAGCCTCTACTGTAACAAATTGACAGGAATAACAGAGAGTTGGCCATTCTAAGGTAAAAACCCAGCGCATACAGTGTTCATGTTTTGTTTTGTTTCATCCAGATGGCTTCCCGCGCCCCCCCTGCAATGACACGGCGCCCCCCCTAGGGGGCGCGCCCCACAGTTTGGGAACCTCTGATTTATATGATGACTTTAAGAAATTCAGATTTGGGATATGACTTGGACTTTTACAAATTTATC